TGGCCAAACTTTGGGGCGATGGGGGGTGCCTACGGGGCCTTATTTGCAGCTACCGCTCTTAGGGCCTAGCACATTGCGCGATGCGCTGGCTTCTACAGTAATCGCTAAAGGAGATTTGGTCGCACAAATAGACGACAAGCCCCTGCGCTACGGCTTATATACCTTACGTCTGGTGGATTTGCGCGCACGGCTATTGCGCACAACGGCTGCATTGGAATCAGTAGCTATAGACGAATACGTTTTTACCCGAGATGTGTTTATGCAGCTGCGGCGCAAAGATAGCGATAACGCCGTGGACAAGGAGATTGACGAGATTGACGATACTCTGGATACCCAATCCGATAAAGCACCCGCTGAGGAGCGGTATGACTTACCTGCAAGCACTGCCCCACAGAGCGAGCAACCAGCCCAGTCGCCTGCACCGCAATCCCAAGCCCAGGAGCCTGCATCCGTTGCAAGCCCATTGCCGCTACCGAGCCAAAATGTAACAGAGAGTTAAAATAAGCGCTATTTTCTTTACCCTGTTTTTTATTTTACTTAGTGCTTAAACTATCATGATTTATGCAATTATCACCAAGTGGCAATTAGTTATGCCAATATTTGCAAATAACATAGCTTTTTTTAAGGAAACTCCTATATGAAAACCAACAAATTTCAACACTCTCCTTTAAGCGCCTGGTTGGCTCGCTGGACGGGGCCTTTGATTGCATTCTTCGCTGCCTTGAGCATTTTGGGCACTAGCGCCTATGGACAAGACTCTGGCGTGGCTGCCGATGTATTTATTAAGTCGCTTTCAGACGAGGTCCTGCAAGCTATTAAATCAGACCCTGAGCTTAAAAACGGCAATATGAACAAAATCAACGCCTTGGTTGACAGCAAGCTCATGCCTAACGTCAATTTTAAGCGTTTGACAGCTTCTGCTGTTGGCCCCCAATGGCGCAACGCGACCCCCCAGCAACAGCAACAGCTGCAAGACGAGTTCAAAACCTTGCTTATCCGCATATATTCTGGCGCATTGGCGCAAGTAAATGACCAAACCATCACTGTCAAGCCCTTGCGCGCCAATCCTACCGATAAAGAAGTCGTGGTACGTACCGAAGTGCGCGGCAAAGGCGACCCCATACAGTTGGACTACCGGCTAGAAAAAACTGCTAACGGATGGAAAATATACAACCTCAATGTCATGGGCGTTTGGCTGATGGAAACCTACCGCAGCCAATTTGCCGAAGTGGTACAAAAAGAGTTGGCGTTGGTAGGACTATTTTTATGCATAATTTCTAGAAAAATATCCTCCAAATCAGCTTTGCGTATCTCAATGTCTTCTACCACAGCACCATGCGCACGCAACGCTGCCAGCGCATCCTCTATGTCTTGCGTCCTTAGCACTGGCAGTTGAACCATGCGCCCCGTCACCCGCGCACGCTCTCGCAAAGAGGGAGGAATTTCAGAATTGGTCTTAAAGTGCAAAACATTGCTGGTGGAGCTTTTGAGTAAATCGCTGGTTTGCTCCATCGCCACAACCCGACCGTTTTTCAGCATGGCCAAGCGGGTGCAAAGTGCCTCGGCTTCTTCCAAGTAGTGTGTGGTCAAGATAACGGTATGCCCTGCTTTATTGAGCCCCGAAACAAAACGCCACAGCGTTTGTCTTAACTCTACATCCACACCAGCAGTAGGCTCATCCAACACAATCACTGGAGGCTTATGCACCAGTGCTTGGGCTACCAAGGCGCGGCGCTTCATGCCGCCAGAGAGTTGGCGCATATTGGTGTTGGCCTTATCCGCCAGCCCTAGCCCATCCAAGAGCTCGTCTATCCAAGCATCGTTATGGGCAAGACCAAAATAGCCTGACTGGAAAACCAGCGCTTCACGTACAGTAAAAAAGGGGTCAAATACCAGCTCTTGGGGCACGACACCAATTTTGCGCCTTGCAGCAACAAAATCTTGTTGCACATCACTGCCCAAAACCATAGCGCGGCCAGCACTAGGTTTGAGCAAGCCAGCCAATATACTAATTAAGGTGGTCTTGCCCGCGCCATTGGGGCCTAGAAGACCAAAAAATTCGCCAGCTTGCACATCAAAGCTCACAGACTGCAAGGCCTGGGTGCTTTTGTGGGCAGACTGGTAAACTTTGCTTACATCGGCAAAACGTACTGCCGGCGCATTAGACGTGCCCATAGCCAATTAAACCGGTTGGAGTAGCTGCGATACGCCGTAAAGAGAGATAAGTTCGCGCAACTTAGGTGGCAATTGCGCTACGGCAAACTGTTTGCCAAGCCGTGCAGCCTCGCGGCGCAAGCTGAGCAAGACCGCAATGGCCGAAGAATCAAAATGGCGCAGCACAGCCGCGTCCGCCACTACCCAAGTGTACTGGGCAATGTTTTGCATTTTCTCCCGCAATGCCTGTGCGCTTTGCGCAGCATTGGAGAGGGTTATTTTTTCTGGTAATTCAATGGTTAATGCAGATATTTGCGTCATGATTTTTTACTTGGTGTTTTGTTGCGCTGTTGCAATAATACCACCAATCCGTCTAATCCA